TACCACCTGGCTTATTATAATTTTTCAGGAATATACTGTTGTCACTGATTTTATTACTAAATCTTCCCACAGCCCAGGAAACATCAACTCTGACAATTGTTTATGATTTGTTTAGGGATTTGCTCATGTTTCTTGGTAGAGCTTAACCAGATGGTCTGGGGGTGCTCTTTGGCTACTCTCAGCCCCTTTCTGCCCTCAGCCCAGTGAATGTGTGGATGAAGGACTGGGGTGTTTATTGAACTACCTCCTTTCCTGTCTGTTCATGACTAGGCGGGTGTCTTAGTTCTTTCAGGTTGGTAAAACAAAAGGCTATCGATTGTGTAGCTTATGAACAACAGAAATTTATTCCTTACAGTTCCGAAGGTTGGAAGTCTGAGATCAGAATACCAACACAGTCAGGTTCTGGTGGGATCTCTTCCAGGTTCAAAGCTGGTGACTTGCTGTGTTCTCATGTGGTAGAAAGGAGTAAGGATCTCTCTGGGGTCTCTTTTATAAGGACACTAATCCCATTCATGAGGGCTCTACATTAATGACCTAATCACTTCCCAAAGCCCCCACCTTCAAATACCACCACCTTTGGGGATGAAGATTTCAACATACAAATCTTGGGGAAAAACAAGCATTCAGAACACAGTAATGGGGAAATGAGAGGGAGGAAAAGGAAACTTTCCTCCCTTTTTATTAGAGAAGGCTCAGAAGTACTGCACTCCTGCATGATCCTAGAGTATTATGCTAAGTGAAACAAATCAGACAGAGAATGACAAACACCATATGATTTCACTTATTTGTAGATTCTAAAAAACAAAACAAATGAACAAACAAAAACCAAAATAGACTCTAAAATACAGAGAACAAACTGGTGGTTGCCAGAGGGGAGGTAGGTGGGGGAATGAACAAAATAAATAAATGGGATTAAGAAATATGAACTTCCAGTTGTAAAATAAGCCACAGAGATGAAAAGTATAACAGAGGGAATATACTCAATAATATTGTAATAAAGTTGTATGGTGACAGAAGGTGACTACACTTACCTTAGTAAGCACTGAGTAATGTATAGAATTGTTGAATCATTATGTTGTACTTGTGAAATGAATATGACATTATGTGTTAATTATACTTCAATATAAAAATAAATTAAAATTAAAAATAACAACAAGAAAGCAAAGAGAGAGAGGAAAAGAAAAAGAGGACATAGAGTCATTTATAGTACTTCATCCTTTGTCTAATTTCAGCTATCTGATCCAAGGCTGTATTATCAATAAAACTGTTAGGTGGTTTGGAGTGGAGAGGTTCAGAGTCAATGGCCAAGAAAGAATTCTTGAAATGTTTTTAGTGCAAAGAGGGTGTTTTATTATGGCATGGGGACAGGACCCATAGGCAGAAAGAGCTGCACTGGAGTTGTGAGGAGTGACTGATTATATAAGATGTTTTATCATACGGAGGGGACAGTGACATTTGGATTCCAGGAAATTGAGTCTATAGGTTTCTGGAGATTGTTCTTTTCTTGTAAATCATTAAAGCAGTTGCAAACTGATCACGTGACTGTGATCTCTATCAGCTAACCATTTGTTTTTCCTTTCCTTTGTTCTTGGACAGCTATGAGTGTCTGAGGAATGTCACACATATCTCACCTGGGGAGTAAATTTCATTGTATTACTCAGCCATCAGAAAGGATGATTACTTACAATTTACATCGATTTGGATGGAACTGCTGAGTATTATACTGAGCAAAATAAGTCAATCAGAGAAAGACAATTATCATGTGGTTTCACTCACGAGGAATATAAGAAACAGCACAGACGATCATAGGGGAAGGGAGGGAAAACTGAATGGCAAGAAATCAGAAAGGGAGACAAAGCATGTGAGACTCTTAACTACAGGAAACAAACTGAGGGCTGCTGGTGGGGAGGTGGGTGGGAGGATGGTGTAACTGAGTGAAGGACATTAAGGACGGCACATGAAGTGATGAGCACTGGGTATTACATGCAACTAATTAATTATTGAACTCTACATCTGAAGCTAATGATGTACTATATGTTGGCTAATTAAATTTTTTTTAAATCACCTGGGAGAAGGATTGTGGGGTGTAGCTTATGCTTCATCCTCAGCTTTCCTTTTGTTCCCTCATTGATGGCATCAGCAAAGCAGTTTAAAAATTTGATCAAAATAAAAATATTGAAGTGGGAAAAATTCATGGGAAAAATCTGAGCCATGTTGCAGTTTGATACTATTTTTATTTGAATTACATATGAAGGTAGAGGTAGGAAACCACACTTTTTTTCAGTAATTATAAGTATTAAAGACCTTGAACTGATTTGAATTGACCTAGAATTGAAAATGTATCTGAGCTGGCACTCAGCCTTTATTTTTGTCTTATACACTATTAGAATAGATGCTTTGATTTTGTTTCTCAGATTAAATATAACACATGAAAGGCATTGAGAGGTGAAGAAATTTCTAGGTGATTTCTTCTGACAACAGATGTGACAGCTAAGAGCTTGGGAGTGATGAGGGGATGGCAAAGCTACTAACAAAGCCAGAATTCAACAAGCACAGCAGTTTTGGACCATCTATGACAGGTGTTAAATTGCACCACCCCTCTATAGTATCATAGAATAACACAAGATCAAAGAAAGGTTACATTTTATTGAGAATACTCAATTTAATCACAGAAAAAAGTTCTATACATTATTCTTTTAATGGTAGAAATAACATTTAAAATCATTTATAGGATTGTGCTTTAGATTTTATGAAAAATAAACTTACAAAATATTTATTAAGAAATTCAGGTTAACATACATTAGAATAATATTGTCTATTTGGTGAGGAGAAGCAACCAAGGAAGGATTTCTGTAGAACACAGAAAATAAGACTACTTCAGGTTTCATCTCCATTCTGCAATGCATGCTGTCTAGAAACCTGCCAACACTGTCTTCACTTTAGCTCTGTGCTTTCGCTTTGCTTCTTAAGTTTTTGTGCCTGCCTTCATCTGATATTAAACCCACTGAATCAGGAGAGCTAGGTTCTTGTCTCAGAGTTGAAGAATGAATCTCCCAGACAAAGGAGAGTGAATAAAGTGATGGAGTTTTATTAAGCAAGGATACAGAAGAAGCTCTCATGATTGAGAGGGATCCAGGCAGGGTTGCCAATGAGGGTCTCTGCTGACAGTCTTTTATTTAGAGCTGACCAGGGAGCTTGTGACCTTAACATTCTTATGAGGTCTTGGTTTGAGTAAGGACTGGTGATAACATCTTTAATGGCTTACTTCTTTTTAGGGTCTGGTTATTCTTTATTGGTCATAGGTGACTGTCATTAAAAAAAGTCCCCCCCCCCACCGCCACCACCAAAACATAGGGCAGGGTGGTCTTGTTTGTTCCCTTATCTCTTGTTTCCTTACACCGCCACATTTTTGGGACTTCTGTGAGCCTAACCACATAGCTCTGTACATATGTCTCCCAACCTAGCACTGCCTGTCCCTTACTCACCACTACCAGACCAGCAGTCCTATTTGTGACTGTCTTCTCCTCTTGGCAGCTCAGGGAAAACTCCCCAGAGAGTGAAGTATCTCCTCTTCCAGAAGATGCACCACTCTGGGTGGGTCCCAAACAGCCTTGCTCTGTGGATTCAAAGATCTTACTTCTTTCTTCTTTCTCAGTCATCCTTTAAGTTACTCTCTAACTTCACAAGGACTTATGGTCAGAATTTCCATCTTTTTTAGGCTTTAACTATTAAAATGGATGAACTTACCAATTTTATTTCTATATTGTCATGGGGGTGCCACTTTTCAATATCTGGCATCTTTCCTGTGGCTGACAGTAGGATGAAATTTTTCCAGAACTGCATCTGCCTCTTAGACTCATCTGAGGAAGGAGTTACAATCAGTCCATGGCTTGGGTCTCAATAATAGCACTGTTCTTGAAGTGGCATTGTGGTTTTGGTTTCCCCCATAGTCTCAAAGCATGGTAAGCACACACACACGTGCACTCACACACTCTAACTATTCTACAAATTATATATTGGGGCTTGGGGTCTCTTTTCTTTTACCCCTACATTCAGACAAATACACAAAGAATGGTTAAACTTTCTTCAAATAGTCACATTTTTCCTCTGGCCTTCATTTATTTCCATGTAGAAACCAAATTTATTAAATTTTTATTTCCTCCTCTGAAATTTATGCTCCTAAAGCATGACAGTTTTAACCAGGAAAGGATTTTAAGGACAGTGGAGTGCTACATGAGAAAAGACTAACAATCAAGTTTCCTTTATTATTGGAAATGTAAAGCTGCTTATTTGACATTTATAATTTATACCCTACCTGCTTCTAAAAAGATTTGAGATGGGCTCTTGAGTGACTCAGTCTGTTGTGTATCCAACTCCTGATGTCAGCTCAGGTTTTGATCTCAGAGTCGTGAGTTCAAGCCCCATGCCCAGTGTGGAGCCCACTTAAAAAAAAAATTGAAAAACAGATTCGAGATGGCATACAGTAAAGCAAGCATACAGGAAGGAGAGAGGGAGAGTAGGGATTCTGTGTGGTAGTCCAGGATAAGAAATTCAGTTGCAGTAATTTATGGCACCTTTAGCTTGCTTACAAAGACATTGTAGTTTGTGCCCTGAATACTTGTCCTGGCATTTTAACTTTTAGAGATTGATTACAATGGCCTCAAGCTTGGAAAGGGAACCCCAGCAATAGGCTTGTTAGATATCTATAGAAGAACAAATCTTTACCTTAGCACAAAGCTCTCAAACCTGTATTGTTGTCTGTGTTTTGTATTCTGTAATTCTTTTTAATACATTATTTTATCTTTCTAACTTATAACAGTTGTACCTACAAGACAGTTCACACAGGACTAAGCTATTACAAACACTAGTCAGTGAAATAATCCTTGTGCACATTAAGGAAGGAAAGGAGGGTTGGAAAGCATTAGTTTTGTTGGTGTGTCATGTTCTTCTGTCACTTGACAGCACTTATCCATGGTTTTAAAAATCAGGGACCAATAATTCTACTGGTACCTGCTACAGAAGATCATCTTTTTAAATGCATCCCTGAGTTCTGGGCTCCGGAAAGCATATATAAAGGGGTCAATGACTGCATTACACATGATCAACATGCCATTCACCTGGAAGAGAGACATGTAGCAGGCACAGTAAGGGTTATTTGGGCAAAATGTCATTAAAAGAACATGAAGAACGAAGGGGGCCCAACAGAAGATGAAGACCCCAAGCAGGATGGTCAGCGTGATGGCCCCTTTCATGTTGGCTCTGGGAAGGGTCAAGATCTTCCTGGCATGTGAACGGGCAAGCAAGAACATGTGCACATAAAGGCACAAGATAAAGACCAACATCAGAGGGAACAGCGACGTGAAGGTGATCACTGTGGGGATGTGATGAGAGAAGATCACCATGGTAATGGCACTGCCCATGCACCCAGTCCAGGTGACCATCAGGACAATAATGGCACGGCGCATGGTCACAATGCTGTGATATTGCAGAGCATGGAAAATTGTGAGGTAGCGGTCAGCTGCGATCATGGACAGGCTGAAAATGGAGCCAAGGAGGGAGAGGATGAACAGGGAGTCGATAATATCATCTGCTGTGGTTTCAAAATTGCTACGAGGCTTGAGATAACCCATGTTTCTTAACATGATCAGGATATTTTCCAGGATCTTATATAGGCTGCCCAACATATCAGAAATAGCCAAGCTACAAATGAAAAAGTACATGGGTGACTGGAGATTCTTATTCTTGATCACCGCCAGAAGGACCATTAGATTTTCCAAAACCCCAATGATGGATATTATAAAAAATATCTCTTCTGGCAAAATCACATGAGGACAGTCTGAATTATTTCTTGCTGTATCATTGATGTTTTCATATAAATTGATAATGTGCTTCATTTCTCCTGCTAAGACAGGGTTGTTACTTTGACTTGACAGAAAGCTGTATTGATTCTTCAGAATCTTTTCTTCTTTGTATTACTTGCTGGAGGTCTGAGGGAAAAATCACTAGGCCACCTAAAGAATAAACAGCAACATCAGAGATATTTTTAAAAAGGGAAGGGGCAATATGGCAGAGGAGCTGGGGACTCCATTTTAACTGGTCCCCTGAATTTAGCTGGATATCTACCAAGCCATTCTGAACATCCATGAAATCACCCTGGGATGTAAGATTATATGCTTGGATCTTTCCAGGAGTAGAAGATAATTAGTCTGCAGGTACAAAGGATGGAGTTGTGACTGTGTGGACAGATACCAGAGGGTAAGCAGAAGGGTGAGGGAGCCACCAGAAGTTAGCCACTGGAAGTTTGCACTGGAAGTTTGCACTGGAAACCAGTGCAAAAGCATCCTGCACCTGGGGACCAGCGATAGCTTGCAGAGTGGTGGTGGTGGGTTGGGAAAAGCCTGATAACAGCACTCAGACATGATACAGGAGCTGAAGTGGCATACACTGGGACCAGGGCAGCTGCTCATGCAGACCTGTGCCCACAGACCCGGGGGCTGGCCACCACCACTGCTGGCACCCATGTGGCCCAACCATGCCTGCGCATGCTGGGAACCCTCATGGTTTTGGAAGCACAGGGGGCAGAGAAAAGTGGGGGTCTGCGTGGACCTCTGAGAGTGTCGCTGGGGGCATGCACTGCCTCTGGGAGGCTTTGGTTTTCAGCAGTGCTTACAGAAAGGGAGACTGTGTGTTCTGGAGGATTCAGAGAGGCGTAGACTGTGACTTCTCTCCCCTGGGACAGAGATCTGGATGCAGACATTTTCCTTTGCTCTGATCTTCCAAAAAGGCACGAAAAGTTGCCAGAGAACAAAAATCCCCAAAACTGGTTTCCACAGAACCCAGGCCCTTGATAGGGGGTAGGGAAACTCCACCCAAGCAGGATTGCCTGAAAAACAATGAGGTGGGCTCCCTCCCCCAGAAGGTAAACTGGAAGAATGAGCAGACAACAACACTAGGGTATCCATAAAAACTATAAAACCCCAACACCAGGGGAAAATAGTACACTGAGCTCCTGATATTGCCTTATGGCCTGTGTGTTTCTTAGATACAACTTTTTTTTTATTCTTTCTCATGTTTCTTCTCTGTTTTTTCTTTTAACCTACTAATTTCAACTAGATGTTTAATACAACATATTCCAAAGTAGCTTTTAAACTTGTACTTTTCACACCTATATATTTTTTCACTTCTTAAGCTTCAATGTAGTCCTTTTTTCCCTATTCAATACTACCTTTATGTACATATATGAGTTTAAATTTCCCTGTAACTCTGGGAAGTAGTGTTCTCTAAGAAAGAAAACAAAATACACCCAGGAAGAACTGAAACACCCTATTTCACCCACACTGAGCAATTATAGTCCCCACCTCCACTCAACCCCCACCTTTCCTTTGAACTCTGTAAATCTTATTCTTGAGTTTCATTTTGGCTGGGATTTTCTCTGGGGGGGGAGAAAAACCATCCTCTCCCCCTCCCCCTTTTAGGGAAGCAGTGATTTCCCACTGCTCTGAACTTTCCCAGGGTATATCTTGCCTGGATTGTGGTTGATATTTTTGACTCTGTACGTCTCATCAACCACTGCCCAACAGAATGACTAGGAGGAAGAACACCCAACAACAACAACAACAAAAGAACCAGAGAAAATGGCCTTTCCCACAGACCTAACAGATATGGATATAAGCAAGAGTCAGAAATAGACTTCAGGGTAACAATTATGAAGAAAATAGCTAGGCTTGACAAAACCATTAATGGCAACATAGAATCTCTGAAGACAGAAATGAAAGCTAATCATGCTGAATTTTAAAATGCTATGAATGAGATGTAGTCTAAACTAGATAGTCAAACAGCTAGGGTAAATGAAACAGAAGAATGAATTAGTGATATAGAAGATAAATTAATGGAAAGGAAGGAACAGAAGGAGACCTGGAACAAATAGCTTAAAATCCATGAGAACAGATTCAGAGAAATGAACAATGCCATGAAATGCCCCAATGTCAGAATTTTTGGGATCTCTAAGGGGTTGGAGAGAGAGAGAGAGAGAGAGGACTAGAAGATATATTTAAGCAAATTGTAGCCAAAAACTTCCCTAATCTGGGGAATGAAACAAGCATTTGTGTCCAAGAAGCAAAGAGGCCCCTCCCAAGATCAAGGAGAACAGACAAATGGCTGGCATGTAATAGTAAAACTCACAAACTTAGAGCCAACAAAGCCATACTAAGGGCAGTTAGGGGGAAGAGATTCCTTACGTACAAAGGGAGGAACCAAAGAATAACATCAGACTTGTCCACAGAGACCTGGCAAGACCAAAAGGTCTGGAAAGACATATTCAGGGTACTAAATGAGAAGAACATGCATCCAAGAATACATTATCTGGCACGGCTGTCATTCAGAATGGGTGGAAAGACAAGGACCTTCCAGGACTGGCAGAAACTGAAAGAATATGTGAACACCAAGCCAGCCCTGCAAAAAACATTGTTTGATTCTATAAACAAAGACCCCAAAAGTAATACAGACCAGAAAGTTACAGAGACAACCTATAGAAACAGGGACTTTACAAGTAATATGATGGAGCTAAATTCATACCTTTCAATAGTTAATCTCAATGTGAATGGCATAAATTGTCCTATCAAATGGCACAGGGTTGCAGATTGGATAAAAAGGATCCATCCACATGTTGTCTGTGAGAGATTCATGTTGTAACCTAAAGATACACCCAGATTGAAAGTGAGTGGATGGGGCACCTTGGTGGCTCTGATGGTTGAGCATCTGCCTTCAGCTCAGGTCATGATATTTGGGCCCTGGGACTGAGCCCCATTGTAGGGTCCCAGCTCAGTGGGGAGTCTGCTTCTACCTCTGCCTCTGTCTTTCCCCCTCTGTCTCTCCCCCTGCTTGTGCTATCTCTCTGTCTCTGTATCTCTCTCAAATGAATAAATAAAATCTTCTAAAAAAGTGAGTGAATGGAGAACAATTTATCACACCAATGGACCCCAAAAGAAAGCTGGGGTAACAATTCTCATATCAGACAAATTAGACTTTAAACCAAAGATGATAACAAGAGATGTAGAGGGACAGTAAAACATACTTCAAGGCCTATCCAACAAGAAGAGCTAAAAATTTTAAATATTTATGCTCCCAGCATGGGAGTAACAAACTACATATGCCAACTGTTAACCAAAATAAAAAGTCATGTTGATAATAATACATTATTAGTAGAGGAGCTCAACACTCCACTCTCAGCAATGGACAGACCATCTAAGCAGAAGTCAACAAAGAAGGAGGAACTTTGAATGACACATTGAACCAGATGGACTTTGTAGATAAATACAGAATATTTCATCTTAAAACAATAGAATACTCATTCTTCTCAAATACACATGGAACTTTCTCCACAATAGACCATGTACTGGGTCACAAATCAGGTCTCAACCAATATCAAGAGATTGAAATTATTCCCTGCATATTTTCAAACCACAATGCTTTGATACTGGATCTCAACCACAAGAAGAAATTGGGAAGGAACTCAAACACATGAAAGTTAAAGAGCACCCCGCTAAAGAGTGATTGGGTCAACCAGGAAATTAAAGAACTTAAAAAATTAATGGAAACTAATGAGAATGAAAACATATCAGTCCAAAATCTATGGGACACTGCATAAGTGGTCCTAAGAGAAAAAAAACATAGCCTTCCAAGCCACTCTCAAAAAATTATAAAAATCCCAAATGCACAAGCTAACTTTACACCTAAATGACCTGTAGCAAGAACAGCAAGTAAGACCTAAGCCAAGCAGGAGAAGAAAAATAATAAAAATTAGAGCAGAAATCAATGAAATAGAAACCAGAAAAACAGATCAATGAACTAGAAGATGGTTCTTTGAAAGTATTAATAAGATTGATAAACTTCTGGCCAGTCTTGTCTAAAAGAAAGGGGAAGGACCCTAATCAATAAAATGATGAATGAAAGGGGAGAAATCACGACCAACACTGAGGAAATAGAATTATTAGAAATTATTGCCAGCAACTATATGCCAACACATTTAGTGACCTGGAAGAAATGGACACATTCCTGGAAATTTATAAACTACCAAGACAAACAGGAAAAAATAGGCAATCTAAACAGACCAATAACCACTAAGGAAATTGAAGCAGTAACCAAAAACCTCCCAAAACACAGGAGTTCAGGGCCATATAGCTTCCCAGGTGATTCTATCAAACAATTAAAGAAGAAATAATATCTATTCAACTGAAGCTGTTGCAAAAAACAGAAACAGAAGAAAATGTCTAAACTCCTTCTATCAGGCAAATATTATCTTGATCCCAAGAGCAGAGAAAGACTGCATCAAAAAAGAGAATTACAGATTAATATCTTTGAGGAATGTGGATGCCAAAGTACTCACCATGATCCTAGTCAATAGGATCCAACAGTACATTAAAAGGATTATTTACCATGGCCACAAGGGATTTATTCTTGGGATGCAAGAGTGGTTCAACATTCACAAATCAATCAACATGAATAATCACGTTAATAAAAGAGAAAACAAGAACCACATGATCCTCTCAATTGATGTAGAAGAAGCCTTTGATAAAATACAGCATCCTTTCCTGATTAAAACTCTTCAAAGTACAGGGATACATGAAACATACCTCAATATCATCAAAGCCATGTATGAGAACCCCGCAGTGAATATCATCCTAAATGGGAAAAAACTGAGAGTTTTTCCCTTAAGGTGAGAACACGATGAGGATGCCCAATCTCACCACTACTGTTCAACATATTATTAGAAGGCCTAGCCTCAGCAATCACATAACAAAAAGAAAGAAAATGCATTGGAATTGGCAAAGAAGAAATCAAATTCTCACTTTTTGCAGAAGACAAAGTACTTTATGGGGAAAATGCAAAAGACTCC